GCCTCCTGCTCTCTATCTCTTCCCTCCTCCCTCCCCACCACATACTCTGCAATTCAATGACACTGCCCTACTTACTAACACTCAAACAAGACATTCTAAGTTCTTACTCCAGACATTTTCACTGATTATTCCCCATACTTAGAATGCCTCCTAACTTCCTTGGTTTCCTTCAAGTCTCAGCTAAAATCTCACTTTTATAGGAGTCCTTTCCCATCCCTCTTAATTCTAGTGCTTTCTCTTTATTGATTATGTCCAGTTTATCCTGTATATACTTTGTTTATACATACATCATTGTTTACACATTGTCTTTCCCATTATACTGTGAGGTCCTTGAGGGCAGGTTTGGTGTATTACCTTTCTGTGTATCCTAATACCTAATAAATGTTTATTGACTAACTAGTAAGCACTCACTATGGTACATCAGGTAGAAGAATGGATAGAGTATTGGCCCTAGAGTCAGCAGGAACTGAGTTCAAATCTGAACACTTACTGGGTGTGTGACCCTGGATAAGTCATTTGACCCTGTTTGCCTTGGTTCCACATCTGTAAAATGAGCTGGAGAAGGAAATGGTAAATCCCTCCAGTTATCTTTGCCAAGAAAACCCCAAATAGGGTCATAAAGAGTTGAACATGACTGAAAAATGACTGAACAAATGTGTTAATAAATATACAAAGACAAACATGGTCTTACCAGACAATACATAAATAATTAAGTAGATTTAACTGCAATGTGATGGAGTTAGTTTCTACCATCTAGGAAGAACTGATTGTTAAATTTTCAGTGTGAACATGGACACCTTGGAAATGGGCAAAAACTACAAGTAAAGGCTTTATTTATTGTTTTCTTGATTGCCAGGACTTAAGAAAGTCATGGGCAAAACATTAATAAGGCAGATTAAACTCAAAGATATATAGCAAGTACTTAAAAAAATGCCAGTTATTAAACATTTACTAGCACACCCTTATGGGTGTACATATAACAATATATATGTGTGTGTATATCTATATCCATATTCCTATCTATCTCTATGTATCCATCAAAGGCATATGTGTGTGTGTGTTTGTAAGAAAGGAAGGCACCAGGTAGACCAGGAATGGCTTTCTGCAGAAGGTGGGATTTGACCCATGTCTTGAAGGAAGCCAGATGAATTAAGAGGCTGAGGTGAGCAGGTAGAGAGTTCCAAAGATTGAAAATAGTCAACACAAAGTTAAGGAGATGTGAGAAAAGTGTGGTGTATGAGGAGCAGCAAGTAGACAAATGTAGTTTCAACACAGAATGTGTGGAGGAGGGTAAAGTGTAAGACTAGAAAGGTAGGAAGGGACCAGGCTATAAAGAACTTTAAGTGACAAACAAAGGAATTTATATATGTTCCTTGAGGCAACAGGGAACCATTGGGATTTACTGAGAAGGGAGGTAATAAGGTCAGATCCGCACTTTTGAAAAATCCCTTTGGCTGATGAATTGAGGATAGATTGAACTGAGGAGACGTTTGATGATCTCCTTTTACTCACATCAACCTAGTTTCACTTCCAAATTCATCACTCAATTGAAATTTCACTCTTCAAAATTACCAACAATCTCTTAAATGTCAAATCCGATGATCTTTTCTCAGTTCTCATCTTTCTGACTTCTCTGTAGCCCAACCCTCTTCTCCTGGATATTTCTTCTTACCTGGGATTGTCATTATTTTCTCCTGTTCTCCTATTGTCTCTGTGGGGTCTCGATTGGGGAAAAGCCATGAACCACAGTTGTAAGTGAAAAGCCATAAAAACTTAAACTCTGTGAAATGCGGAAGCTTGGATATGGTGACCTGTTAAAAATCATAACTTAGATACTGAATCATAATTTAGACATTGAGTCAAAACCTATGACCTATGAAAGTCATAACAAGAATATCGTGACCCATATGTGACAAGTACATGATCACTATACAAACTTATGTTTGAACATAACATTGGCTTAATGCACAAAAACCAAAAATATCCACAAATCAGTAGTGATGCACTCTCTAGCTCCTCTTTCCTTTGTGTGTTTTCTGTAATTACCACAGAGATTTTGAGGGGGATCCACTGAACTGTCTGGCAGGGGCACCCCAGATTGCCCCTGTTTTGTAAGTAATTATAATGATTGGTTAAACTCCTATATTCAGTCTGGAGCTCCTTGGCCTCTTCCTTTGGTATCAAGAACATCACACAGTTATGGGGGAGGTACAGGGTTCCCCAGCCAGGGGAATTCCAGACCTCACAGTCTTCTTTGCTGGTTCATCATCCAGATCTTCTCCACCCTCCTACCCCCTCATTCCAGCTGTGGATATATTCCAAGACTCTGCCCCGAGCCTTTTCTTTTCTCTACACTTTTGACTTGACCTCATCAACTTCCATGGGTTTAACCATCATCTCTTTCCAGATGACTCCCAGATCTCTATATCCTGTCCCAGCCTCTTTACTGGCTCTGCTTCCAAATCACCACCTGCATACTGGACATTTCAAACTGGATGTCAACAATTTCTTTATTTCTGATGAATCTATCACTATCTTTTTAGTCTCCATAGTTCACATCAGTGTTATCCTTGACACCTTACTTTTCCTCATCTCACATTTTCAATCAGTTGCCAAACTTTGCCATTTCTATGTCTACAACATCTCTTGCACTACATCTTAATCTCACTGCTACTACAGTACCACCTTAGCTTGGGCTGTAATTACTTCTTGCCTTGACTATTTCAATTTTCTTGTAATTGGTCTCTTTTCTTAAAGCTTCTCCCCTCTCCAACACATTTTCTAGTCAGTGGTCAAAGTGATTTCCCCTAAATGCAGATCTGACCATGTTATTTCAAACTCCAGTGACTTGCTGTTGCCTCTAGAATAAGACATAATCTTCTTTGTTTTACTTTTAAAGCCATTTACAACCTGGCCCCAGCTTATACTTCTAGCCTCATTATAGGCTTCCTTTCTTCTCAAATTCTTTGGTCTCTATGGTCTTACTACACTGGTCCTCCTGTCATTCCTCACATGGAGCACTCCATCTCCTGTCTCCATGCCTTTATATTGACCACCACACCATGCCTGGAATATATTTCCTTCAGATCTCTGCCTCACAGATTCTCTTACTTCCTTCAAGACTGAACTTAAGCACTATCTTTTGTAAAAAACCTTTTTCTTGCCCCTTCACTCCAACTTCTAGTGATCTTCCTCCTTAAACTAACTCAGATTTATTTTGTATGACTTCTGTACATACACACACAGACATACACACAGACACAGACACACATATACATATAGGTATACATACATGTGTCTTCCCCAATAGAAAGTAAGCTCCTTGGAAGTAGGGACTTTTTCTTTTTTGGTCTTTGTATGAAATATGCCCGGCATACACTAGATAACCAAATAAATGCTTGTTTATTGATGTTATGGGCAAGCCACCCTATCAGTTGCTTTACAAAGAAACAGAAAAGGCCCTCTAAGGGCCCTAACATATGGGAACATGTAATCTAAGGAATTAAGATTTACATGGGAAAATTTAAGTGGACAATAAGGGAGATGGACAACGAATAAATAAATATTGTAGTACAGAGGAGGGAGATATCTTGAAGAAAGTAGGGCTTGAACTGGACCGTTAAACACTAGGTATGCATGCAGTCAGAGGGAAAGCTCTAAAGATGGGTAAGTAGTCTAAGCCAGCGACATGAAATTCAAATAGACCAGGATCCCTGCCAGTGGCATCTTAACTTAGAAAACCACAAATTAGCATTATCTATGTTGTACTATATTTTTATTTATTTTGTTAAATGTTTCCCAATTACATTTTAATCTTGTCCTGGCTATATTCAGGAGCTTTATGGGCCTCAGAGGCCCTTGGGTCCTTGGCTTGACACCTCTGGTCTAAGCAAAGGACTGGAGTTATTTAAAGGACAATGAATAGATTGAATCAGCTGGAGTTTAATGATGAAATCTAAAATGGCTAAGAAAATTCCTTCCTATAAAAATAACACTGTAAATAGCAATGAAATCACAGAAAGTGGGACAATTTTGTTACTGCCTTCTTTAGAGTTAATATATTAAAATTTATACATAATGGAAGTTTAACTTTATGGGCATAATTGTAATCATTTGTCAACCATGGGCTCACATGGATTAGGTTAAATCCTCACAGCCTAACTCAAAGTGGGTCTTTTTCTCACCTTGATTCATTCTCTGGCCCCTCAAACACACATACAACTCTAGAGTTCTATTCTAGGGAAATCTCCAAAATAAAACTTAGCTCATGACTAGGATTTAATAAATATGGCTAACAGGATCTGCAAGCTCAAAAGGATTTTAGGTGCCCCTGAAAAGGACTATATGTTTGTATTGGGACAATTAGCTTTGTGTGTTGAGGGAAAGTTCATTACCAGAAGGCTATCTAATAGGTAATTATTTTTCTCCTGTAGCCATCAAAACTAAAAGAAATAAGCTAAGATGTGAAGTATTTTGATTTGCAAAGATAAAGAATACTAGAATCAATGACAACCTGGATCTTTGAAATACCAATCTATTCCTAATCTAAATGTCCAGATACGTAAATTGTTATTTATTAACTTTGTGCTATATATTTGGGGGAGGGAGGTGATACAATGTAGTGTTGGAAGCATGTGCCAGTATGAAGAATACTGGATCTGGAGTCAAAAGACTTGGGTTCTAATTTCAGAACTGGACCTGGATTAAATCACTTCACCTTGGTAAACCTCAAAATTTCCTCATCTGTAAATTAAAAGGGTGGATTAGATGATTTTAAAAACTACAATGAAGTAGTTGCTGAGCAGAGAGGGGCTTCAGCACAGAATGTTCATTTTTATAAATACCTCCCTAACCCCCTTTTACGGCTCCCCTCCCCCGCTTCCCAATGTGTATTTCCTGAATCTGCTAGGGAAAGTCGAAGAGCGTTTCACCGGGCTTTCAGTGAGGTTTTGTGGTTTTAGTCAGTTCTCGAGCAATGTGATGATCTGACTTAAACTGAGCAGGACTAGGAGTAGTACTACTATTTCAGCTCGTAGATACAGATAATGGGTTACGGGGCTTCCAGGGCTAGGGAATTAAGGCTAGTTTTGGAGAAGAACCCTACTTCGACCCTTCCCCCAAGGCTACTCGAACTCCCACAGCTTCAACTAGCCGGGACCTGTGCGCATGCGCCTCCGGGGCAGCAACCTTTCCAGCTGTGGCCCTCCCCCACCATCCGGGTCCTCGCCGACCGCCGGGCCGGGAGCGGACGCAGTGTCTCCCGCAGCTGGGATCCCAATAAAGTTGCACTGAGCGGAAACCGGCCCGCGCCCGGCAAGAGCGCACGGAGCACCGGCGGAGACACCCTCCCCCGCTCCCCTCCCCCTGCCTGCCTCACTCAGCTTGTAAGTGTATCCTACCAGTGCGGGCTGGGGTGGGGAGTGGGGCGCGAGGGGAGACTCCAGAGGTCTGTGAGGGGTAGGCGGCGGCGGCTCCTTCCCAGGCCGCGGCTGCCCTCCCCACCTCTCCTGGTTCTGTCGCGTCGGCTTCCGGGACCCGCGGGGGGTCGGGCCGTTAGCGGGTGCAGGCGGCGGGAACGCCCGCGGGCCGATCCCTTGTGCGTCCGGCCTCAGTCCGACAGCCGAGTTTCCTCTTGTGCCACAGTGTAACAAGTGCCTAGTAGGTGCGAGGCTCCTAGCGGGGCGCTTTAGCCCCGCAGTCGGGCCCCAGCTCGGGGCAGCGCTGGGGCCGGGGAAATGGGACGGGTCCCTCTCCTCCCAAGGAGAAAGGGGGAACTAGGTGGAGGACTCAGAGGTCAGGCGGAGTGGGGCCTGGGTGGGTGGGGGGTGTCCGATCAGGCCCCTCTGAGTTGACCGAGGATAATAACGGCTCCCATTCCGAGGGCGCCTGCCTCGCCACCAACCAGCCGGGAGAGAGGCGAGGCAAGCTGTAGTGTCCCGGTCCCCAAAAGGAGGAAACGGGAGCCCTGTGATTAAAAAGAACTTGGGAAGATCAGGAAGGGCTCGGCCCGAGAAATCTTGGAGCGGCCTACCAGGCCCAGGCCCTCCCACGGCCAGCTTGGAAATCCTCGGGCCAGTGGCCTGGGCACACCGGGCTGTGGCTAGGGCGGGGGAAGTCCTGGTGTCGGGAATGTTGCTGGGGCGGGGGAGCGGGGGGCAGACTTCCAGCGTTTTCCGGTGTGAATAGGTAGACGTATAAAAACCCTGCTGCTTCGGGATGTCAAGCTGGGAGAGGTGTTTTTGGACCGTATGGACCTCGATGTTTAAAACAGGTTCTCTTTTCCCCCCTTTTTTGGAATCAGAATTAAAAAAAAAACAAACCAAAAACAAGGTGGAGACATTATAGAGATCAACTAGTTAACCTTTATTTTGCAGTTTGCTTTACCTGGGTTTGGAGTGCTAAATGACTTGCCCAAGGTCATAGCTAGTAATATCTCTCCCCTTATACTTCTCTCCCCCTCCCCACAACTGATTGAGTTTTAGATTCTTCCTGGCGTCTTATATCCATTCAAAAGGATTGACATTGTTGTTCTTTCAGTAATAAAGTTTGATAAACTGATGCAATTCATTTAATGTCTCAAAAATAGTTATCAATATTTAATGGTTTTGCTTATCCAACTTGGGATTGGTCCTCAAAAATTCTGAGTGCTATTTCCTTCCTGTTCTACTGACTTTTTTCTCTGGCTAATTTCAGTTACATCAGGAACTTTTATTTCCAGTCTCAGCCTTTAAACCTGTGACGTGCTTTCGCAAACCTCAGTGTTGGTTCTGATTCAATGGATTTTTGGAGTGTAAACTTTGAAACTTCCCTGTGGGTCTAGTTTTGAATTCGAGCATGCCCCGTAGCCAAAAGAGGTTTTTGATAGCAGTTAAAGAGCTGGAATAAGTGTAGCCAGGTATTTAGACATCACAGAATTTAGAGCTGATAGAGCCATGAAGTCTAACATCCAACACAATATTGAATTTCACCATTGGAAAACATAAATGGAGACTGAAATAAAGTTTATTATTGATAATACATCTCTTTTAAAACAATAGATAGGAGATAACTTGTGGGAAGAGGAGTTGGGGAGAACTAATCCACTTCATTTGAACAGTAAGTTCCAATTCTGGTTTTGATGAAAAAGGAGAACACATTGTAGTAGTCAGGCCAGGAGGTGAGGAATGCCTGGATAACTTTGGGCCAGATCTTTATCTTGATTGTAGAGACTGTTTCCTGACCAGCTGGTGATCTGGGGGGAAAAAAAAACATTCTTGGCTGCTTGTGCATATAAATGGGCGTGGCGCTAACTATATCTTGTTTACCTTATCTTTCTTTGGAAAAAGTTTTAAAGTCTGTTTGGGGTGTCACATCTTGCATGTTCCCCAGCACTGAAGAGTGTTGTTATGTTAGCAGCAAACACTAGCACACTGTTTTATCAAAATGAGGCTGACACTATTCAAGGCAAAGTACCTGGTCTATAACTTGTAGTGATTTGAATGTTAGTTATCCTTTGGCAAGTTCAGAAGTAATGGGCTTCTGAGGAACTTTTAGAATTCCTATCAGCATTTTCAGCAATAGATTGGGGAAGATCTTAAATTTTTTTCCACATACATTTATCCAAACATGATTATAAAATTTAGAGAGGTAGTTGTGTGTTTCAAGTTCATGAGCTTAAAGGAAGCTGTTTACAAATTCATAAGTGCTAGTGATGATTTTCCTCTATAACATCACAAAGCATTTGTCAATTTAGAGTTTAAGATTGCTGGTTAATTTTATTCAACACCAATATGTAAAGGAGTCTTGGAGTCTTCATTAAAATGACTGTTTAGATTTGACTTATTTTTGACATTGGTTAATGACAGCTTTTACCACCTATGCTTGTATGGTATGTCTGTGCTTTATTCTCACTCTGTACACATCTTCTCTTTGTACACTTGACTCATGAAAAATAAATCCCTTTTAAATCTTCCTTACCACAACATTGCAGGTCCATCTTCCATTACTGCAAAGTGTATACCACTTCTTCACCCTGTATCAGTTACAGTTGATAGGTGATAAAGCCAGATAAGCGCAAGGAACTGACCTACTGATATATTAATTAGGTAGTCATTAGTGGGGAGAGTGGAGGCATGAATGAGAACGTAGGTATGGGTTGGGTTTTTTTTTTATGTTGCGTAAGTATACTACTCTCTTATCTCCTGCAGGCGCCATAGAAACGGGTAGATAGAAATATGTTTCATTTCTTTTCCCTCTGGCAAAGTAAGCTATTAATTTGAGTGGGAGGCAGTGGTAAGAATGTTTTACTAATGAGACTTGAGTCAGATTTTTTTTATTATTAGTTATGCAACATGTTGCTGGGAAAATTATTAAAAACTTCATTCTATAGTAAAGCAGAGACAAGTAAATTCTACTTGCCTTACTCTTGAATTTTTAATTCTTGGCTGAATCAGAAGACATGTTGAGTAGTGCCATAATTCTGGGGAGCTCTATTTCCTGTTATGAACTCAAACCTCCGCTTTGTAGTAATCTTTTTTGTTCTGTGCAATGGACAGAGTCTTTTGCTTTCTGTAACTTTATGTATTCCAAGCTGCTGTTTTCTGGAGTTTTGAAAGTATTAATATTTTATATTTTATATGTAGTATATAATGAGTATTAAAATATGATACCAAAAATATTAGTATTTGGCCCTTAAATAGCTTGATATTCAGAACTGCAAGGAAATTTGAACTCCTCTATTTTAAAACATTTGATAAGTTTTACATGAATAAGTTTTCATTTTTCTAAAAGTATTTTCAGTATTAAAAGAGGAAAAAAAATTTGTTCATTTTTAGTAGTTTTTGTTAGTGCTTTCCCTGGCTTAAAGTCCAATAGATTTGCGTACATTTCATATCAGATTTGCATAATAGATTATATCAATAGGGAATTACAAAAATGTTATACCAGATAGAAAATTATGAGGCCCAAAGGTAAAGCTTTTTGTCTAAGATCTCTTGACTAACAAATGTTAGAGCTAAGACTGGAACCCAGGTCTCTTGACTTCTGGGCTGGCTCTTCCTTTAAACACTGATGCCACTTGGTACCTTTGGCAATAGAATCCCTTATGGTAGTTTATCATTATACTTGATTCACTATGTAGCTGCTGACTTTTTTTTTTTAAGCAGAGTAATTGCATGTTCAGGTCTGTATTTGAGAGAGATTATTATCAATAAACTAAATTTGGAAATAATTTACATTCAAAGGCCTCCACTGACTGGTGTTACCCGAATGTTAAGTATTATTAGGTATTTTGCACCAGTAAAATTGGACCCTGTATTTTTCTGTCTCTACACCTTTGCTGATTTTAGTAGGCCCCTTTGCCTTGAATGACTTCCTTTTCTTTCCAGCAGGCTTCTCCTGTTCACCCTTAATATTGATCTTCTTCTGTAGGCGTCACAGTGTACATTGTAGTTTAATAATACTGTTCTGTAATTGTGTATTACAGCTGTCTATTGGTGTCTTATTCCCTGTTGCCCACCCCCAAAAATTTGGGTAAGTGAAGATCTCTTCCTTCCTGAACTTTAAAGCCTGTTTCTTCTTGGGTCCACCACATTACTTAGCACACAATACTTTACATTTGTATAGTGCTTTGAGGTTTGCTAAGATGCTTTATATCTATCTTATCTGATCTTCACTACATGTTTGTTACTTGATTGTTGTTTATCCTGCACTTTTACCTTATCTGTAACATGTATAGTTTCAGTATCTATGTTTAATAAAATAGAAGACTTGGACCTAAAAGTAGTTATGAAGGATTGTTGAAGTCAGTGATTTCTTTAAAAGACTGGCTTGATTACTAATGTCAAAGCACAGATTCAATTTTCATTGGCTGCTTGCTCCTGGGATGCTCTTCCAGTTCTAAAAGATTGGATACCTAGAGTTCATTTTTTTTTCATGAGAATGGACAGTTCTTGAATTTTACATTAGTTTTGACATTGCTTTGGACAGCTCAATGGACTAAACTAAATTTGAGGCCTTGTTCTTAGAATTACTTTCATTTTTTTTTCCATTTTATTGAGTCTCACCTTGGTTATGAAGAAAAATGTTTTAATAAAGTAATTTTTGTATGTAATATTGTAAAGTATAAGCAGATTGTATAAACTAGAGTATTTTCTCTCAGCAGGTTATTGACTTTTGAATCTTTTTATACTATATTCTTTCCCTCTTATTTTATATAATATTTTAAATACTAAAGTAATATATTACTTTTACCTTTTACTTTAACTGATACTGTAGCTTGGTTAGTGGAGGACAGTTTATAATTTTCACATTTTGTTTTAACCTCAGGATGTAGCTAGTCCTTTATGCCATCTGCCTGGTAGCCTTTAATGTATACAAAGGATTTTGCAAACCTTAAAGTGCTGAATAGATATGTTATTATTTTGTTAGCCATATTTGAGGAACAATTAAAAGTAAAATGTTGTATGAGGATCAGTTGAAGGAAATAGTGTGATGCTTAGCTTGGAAAAGAAAAGATGAATAATTGTATTCAGGTATTTGTAGAGCTGTCACCTGGAGGAAGGATTGGGTTTGTTTTCTTTGGATCCAAAACACAAAGCTAGAAGCATTAGGTAAAAGTTGCAAAGAGACAAATATCCTTCTTTTAAATAGAGTAGGGATTGTTAAACTTTTTTGTGTCGTGGACATCTTTGGTGTTATGGAACCTATGAACTCTTCAGAATAATGTTTTTAAGTGAACTAAATAAAATATATAGGATCACAAAGGAAAGAAATTCTATTGAAATACAGTTATCAAAATATATTTTTTAAAAAATTCATGGACCCCAGGTTAAAATCCTTTGCATTAGAGATATCCAGAAGTGGAATGGGTTGCCTCAGGAGGGTGGTGGATTTTCCCTTACTGGAGGCCTCCAAGCAATAACTGAATGAGCACCTTTTGAGTATATTGTAGGAGAGAGACTTTTTTTTATTCTTTTTTTTTTATTTGAGGGTTATTTATTTATTTGTTTTTGCTTAACACATGTAAAAAGGATGCAGATACAAAAATGATACATGAGAAAAGTATTGGTTCAACACTAATGAATATGAGAATTAAGATTTTGGGAAGAAGAACAAGATTCTCTAGATATTAACAAAAAATTGGAAACTGTAAACCAAATTTTATGAGAAAATCCTTATTAACAATGGAGTCTTAAGATTCTTTCCATGATTTTTGTTATATTAAGAGCCTATCCTCTGGCTCTTGGGGTTTCTCAGGTGCAAAATACAGATAAAGGGGATTCCCCTGGCTGGTCCCGATGGTATCACATATCTCCCTTCCTCAAGCATTGAAACTATCATAAGTGAGTGAAACATTGGGAGAAAATCAATGTCAACTGGAAGGACTCATAAAAAGGTTGATTTTGAGCTTTTGAGTGGTTTTGTAATATCTATTACATATATTGTTTCTTTCCTACTTTAAACTCTTATTACTTCACAGATGGACTTGGCAAATCTTCTAATTGTTTCTCTCTTCTCTGCTTTCCAATCATAGACACCCCTGCCAGATGAAAATTTTCCACATAGTGCTTTAGACCTTTTTCTCCATCTTCCCAACCCTTCAGACACTCCCTACTGAAAGCAAAGGAAAGTCCAAGCTTTTAGCCTGAAAATTAAATTTCTTGGCTCCAGAAATCTTGACCATACCTACCTTATTGTGTTGGAACCTTCATTTAGAATATTCTGCATTCAAACTTCCTCCTCAAGTCTGCTCTAATAGTTCCCTCTTTGTAATTGAACTTCCTATTCCTCTTTGCTAATCCTTCAAGGGTCAGATCAAGTCTCATTTCCTCTTAGACCATCTCATTCTTAATGTGGATTCCATTCTCCTCTGAACTTTTATTGAGTCCTTTCACTGTGCTTGTTCCATACGCAACACATTTTCCTTCATCTTAAAGTTTTTCTTCTCCCATTCCTTCCTTCTACTAGCTATTACTTAAAACAAACTTCCTCCTGATGACAAAGCCTCCCGTGCCACTCTTGCTTGTGCTGGCTACACTTTCATGTAGTGTTAATTCCTCTTGACTCACTGGTGAAAGTGAAGGAATTGGACCACTCTTTGCTCTTTTTTGCCACATCCAGTTTCTCTTACTCCTCTATCCCTCAGTAATTTCTACTCCTTTGAATTTCATGCTATTCATATGTATCACCCAATCAAAATCCTAATAGCTTTTGTCTATAGACCTGCAGGTTAAATCCCATCTATCCTCAATGAGTTCAGCACATGGCTCATAATTTTTCTTTCCTTCCTAACTTATGTCTTCATATTAGGGAACTTCAACATACATTAATGACTGTCCTTAAATATTGAACCATTCAGTTCCTCAACCTACTCACTTCCCATGAGGTACTCTTTCCCCCCCGCCTCAGTCATACATTAAGATGGTCATACTTTTGATCTTACTATCATCCACAAATGTACCTCTTCCACTTAAAAGAATTTGAAAATCCTGTTGTCCTACCATAATCTATTGGCTTTTTACCTTCTGCATTTCCTTACAAAACCCTGCATTTCATCTGCACTGTGACACTGTCCCTTGGCCCCTCAGTTCTCTCCCAAAGCATCTATTCCCTGCACTAGCCACTGTTTCTTCTTTTCTCCATCTAGATTTGTTGATGAAAGAAGAAGTTCAATTCTACACTTCCCTCCTCTCCTAAATCCCTAGGCCCCTTGTGATTACATTATATTATTATTATATCATATCATGTTATATTAGAATTCCCTGCCAAGCCTTAGCTTTAGATCACTTCCATTACTCACCACCTTTGCTGCTACAAATATGCTGCTTAATGAAGGTGGAGAAAATCATGCAACTATTCTGACTTCATTCACTACAAATTTATGTTATGTAAACTCAACTAGGCCCTTACTGCTGCTAGGAAGTGTTTCTGTGCCTATCCTGTCAACTTACTATCTCTGTTTCCAAAGTGGCTCTTCCAGACTTTTTCATCCCTCCTCAAACCTCCCATAGCTCCTCCTTCCCCTACCCTCTCACCTGAGATCCTTGTCTCATATTTTACAGGAAAAAAATTGAGGCCATTCACTGTGAGTTTCCTTTTCTCTCTTCCTCATCTCATAGCACTCATGTCTTCCACCACTATTTTCTCCTTCATTCCTATCTCACATAATGAGGTGGTCCTACTCCCTACTAAGGCAAATCCCTCTACCTGCTCAAATGATCTCATTCCTTCCCACCTCCTCCAACAGATTACCCCTCCTGTCATCCCCACTCAGTCACTTATTTTTAATCTCTCCTTGTCTACTGGTTCATTGCCTACTGCCCACAAATATACCCATGTCATCCCCGTCCTCAAAAAACACTCAGTTGATCCTTCATCCCTGCTAATTATCATCCTATATCTCTTCTGCCATTTGTGGCTAAACTCCTTAAAATGTGTCTCTACTGTTGGTACGTCCACTGTCTCTCTCCCTTTCCTCTCTCTTAACCCTTACATTCCGACTTCCACTCCGTTATTCCCCTGAGACTGTTCTCTTCAAAGTTGCTAGTGACCTTTTTTCAATCCTCATTCTCCTTGAGTCCTCTGCAAGGCTTTAACACTATTGATCACCCTCTCTTCCTTGAGGGGCAGCTAAGTGGCACAGTGGATAGAGTGCTGGGGTCTTCCTGAGTTCAGATCTGGACTCAGACACTTACTAGCTGTGTGACCCTAGGCAGATCGTTTAAATCAGTTTGCCTCAGTTCCTCATCTTTAAAATGAGCTGAGAAGGAAATGGCAAACCAGTGTCCTTGCCAAGAAAACCCCAAGTCAGACAAATAAACAACAACCTTCTTGCTGTTCCTCAAACAAGGTACTCCATCTCTTGGCTCCACTAATTTTCTTTGACTGTTCTTCATGTCTGGAATATACTCCTCATTTCTGCCTTCTGGCTTTCCTGACTTCCTTAAAAGTCCCAACTAAAATTCCATCTTCAACAGGAAGCCTTTCCCAGTCCTTCTTAATTCTACTGCCTTCCCTCTGTTAAATATTTCCTATTTATTCCGTACATGTCTTGATTGTATATATTTGTTTGTTGTCTGCCCTGTTAGATTGTGAGGTCCTTCAAGGACAGGAACTGTCTTTAGCCTCTTTTTGTATCCACAGTGCTTAGCACAGTGAATGGCATGTAAACAATGCTTAATAAATGTTTATTTATTGGTTGACCTAACCATCTTTGAATAGAGTATAGACTTAGCAAATTTTGATAACTATTTCAATATAATTACTTTCTTTGTATTCCTGTGTGTTTTTTGCATTTAACAACATTATTCTAAGGAATCCATAGGCTGCACCAGACTACCAAAAGAACCCTCTGATCTATTGGATGCCTTCCAGTGCTAGTGATCTGTGATCTTAAATGGGGAAAAAGAAAAGGAGTATGGAGTGTGGATCAAATAGTTCTCAATATTGGATGTCAGGGAATAGATACGATATAGGCCCAGAGCAAGTTGTTTGCATTAGGTTTTCTAACATTGAGGGTTTTCAAGCAGAGC